TGTAATAGAGGCTCCCATATCACGTCATTCTGTAGTGATCCGTGTAATAGAGGCTCCCACCTCAAGTCATTCTGTAGTGATCCGTGTAATAGAGCCTCCCATCTCTCGTCACTCTGTAGTGATCCGTGTAATAGAGCCTCCCATCTCACGTCATTCTGTAGTGATCCGTGTAATAGAGCCTCCCATCTCACGTCATTCTGTAGTGATCCGTGTAATAGAGGCTCCCATCTCACGTCATTCTGTAGTGATCCGTGTAATAGAGGCTCCCATCTCACGTCATCTTGTAGTGATCCGTGTAATAGAGCCTCTTATCTCTCGTCACTCTGTAGTGATCAGTGTAATAGAGCCTCCCATCTCACGTCATTCTGTAGTGATCCGTGTAATAGAGGCTCTCATCTCAAGTCATTCTGTAGTGATCTGTGTAATAGAGGCTCCCATCTCACGTCATTCTGTAGTGATCCGTGTAATAGAGCCTCCCATCTCACGTCACTCTGTAGTGATCCGTGTAATTGAGGCTCCCATCTCACGTCATTCTGTAGTGATCCGTGGAACAGAAGCTCCCATCTCACGTCATTCTGTAGTGATCCGTGTAATAGAAGCTCCCATCTCACGTCACTCTCTAGTGATCCGTGTAATAGAGCCTCCCATCTCACGTCACTCTGTAGTGATCAGTGTAATAGAGCCTCCCATCTCACGTCATTCTGTAGTGATCCGTGTCATAGAGGCTCCCATCTCAAGTCATTCTGTAGTGATCTGTGTAATAGAGGCTCCCATCTCACGTCATTCTGTAGTGATCCGTGTAATAGAGCCTCCCATCTCACGTCACTCTGTAGTGATCCGTGTAATAGAGGCTCCCATCTCACGTCATTCTGTAGTGATCCGTGGAACAGAGCCTCCCATCTCACGTCATTCTGTAGTGATCCGTGTAATAGAGGCTCCCATCTCAAGTCATTCTGTAGTGATCTGTGTAATAGAGGCTCCCATCTCACGTCATTCTGTAGTGATCCGTGGAACAGAGGCTCCCATCTCACGTCATTCTGTAGTGATCCCTGGAACAGAGGCTCCCATCACGTCATTCTGTAGTGATCCGTGTAATAGAGGCTACCATCTCACGTCATTCTGTAGTGATCCGTGTAATAGAGGCTCCAATCTCACGTCATTCTGTAGTGATCCGTGTAATAGAGTGCGGACTCAGTTATTTATAGTCCGCTGTGATATAGCTGAAATAACGCTAAATCGACGAAAAACAACAAATACAATAACAAACAAACGTGTTCATGCGATAAGATGTCAGTCACAACAGCAAGTTAGTAAGGGCGTGGCTATCGTGACCAACTCGTGTTATTCCGGGACAAGCCGATAGGTTGCAAGTAACAGCAAGGGGCGAGTGGTGACGAATGAGCACGTGGGTTTATCGCTGATTTAAACCTATCACGCTGTCAACTTGCACGACTGAAAAAAGAAATATATTTAGTGTGAGTCCTTGGCATTTGATTGTCTGAGCAGGCAATGTTATTTTGCGTTTATAGTTACATAAACCTAAAATAAATAGACCATGCCCACACGCAGACCATTTACATCCTCGTGTTGCATTAGTGCGCTGACCGATGTCACTGCTTTCGTTGTGTTGGCTACAGTTTTTTGTGTAAATGATTAAATAAGCAGTCAGTAAAGTTGTTATTGATGACTTATATAATTATAAATACGCGGATTTATATAGTAAATACTACCGATATTTACGTTTATACCGCCATAATAGCAAACAATATTTAAATCAATTCTTCAGGGATCCACGGTGAAAAACGGTGTTTAAGGCCATTTATCTTTTATTCTATCTGGTAGCACAAGATTTAATGATGAATATGCTTGAGTATGGTTATTTATTCAATAATATCCTAGCCCCCAGCCCCCAGCCCCCAGCCCCCAGCCCCCAGAATATCAAATGGTTGGCCCCTTGAAGGCATAATAGTGGTAAAAAGATGTTCACTCTCTCAAATACCCACCAACCCAAAGTCCATCCTACTCACACACTCACTCAGACAATCACTCACTCACTCAAACAATTACGTTTGACTCGACAAATCGAAACAGAAAATAGCTAATATATCCAGTGCAATGACTTAATGCTAACTAATCCCTGTTACAGCGATGTCGAGGTTCAAACACCCACCGAGAACGCACTGGGACATTCGTAATCCATAGTTTATAGAGTAGTAGTTATAGGTGAAGTGTCTGTAAAATACCAACACGATGGCCTGTGGGTGTTTTAGTTTTATCATTCTGTCATGCGTTACGCAAATGTTGGGGTTCCACATGTGAAATGATTGTAGACACATATCCATAGAACATAGTATTATATCTTAAGCACAAAGGAAAAATATTTTTTAATACCAGAGTAAAATATTTTAATGGATCGAATGATTCTCGTAGAAAGTTGAATGATGGTCCGATAGTTCGCGAACACCTGGTATCATCACTTTGTGATAGTGATTCATAAACTAATTCTTATGAAATAGTCGGTAATTTTCCATTGACTCCGTTTTGACCAGAGATTTCTTATGGAAAGGGTTTCTTCGCTTTTACTTACCTGTTGAAGACATTAGATTTACAAACTTGTGAAGTGCTGGGTTACAATGACGATGTCGTGCAAAGAAGACAGTCCTTAATGATGAATATGCTTAACTTACCAAAAGAAAGTCATACTCATGTTCAACATTGTCAAGCCTAAATCTGACACAGTAAAGACGCAGTCCTTGTTCCGGATCTTCACTTTTTATTCCCATTTCTACCATTAGAGTGTGAGTGCGTATGGTTTTACGCCGCTTTTTGCAATATTCCAGCAATATCACGGGTACACCAGAAATGGGCTTCACCCATTGTACCCATGTGGGGAATCGAACGCGGGTCTTCGGCGTGACGAGCGAACGCTTTAACCACTAGGCTACCCGACCGCCCCCTCTACCATTAGATTAAGAATAAGGACTGTTTTCACTAGTATCATTATATGTGCGTTGTTATAAAGACAGTCATGCATGGATCACGGCTTGTACAAACCGCTGACCAGTGCTACAAAACACGGATGAAGTCGGCCCATCATAATGTGGAGCTTGTGGAAACGGTTGTAATGTACAAAAGGGCACATCACCTACAAAAAACACGTCAATTAAAATTTCCCACTTTTGTTGTGTAATTCCCATCAAAAGAAGTTAAGAATGGCGGGTTAACCACAGTCTCCGCGAAACCCTGTCTATAATAAACTCAGAGGCAAAAGAAAGTATACCGAGTTTATTTCTTAAGTAATTGAAATTTGAAAGAAGTGTTGTTAAATTTGATTATGTCTATTAATCATCACTCATTCCTGCAACAGTTTGTAAAAAGAAATATGTTGCTAGGTAATTTTGTGTAAAGGAGGAGGAAATTCAGAATGATGGGTTAACCATATGGTTAAAGGGTTCTCTGGGAATCGGATTAGAATCTGCAAAGCAATTCTAAAATACAAAGGAGAAATCGTCCAATGTCACAGTGTTGAATACTTGTACGTGCTCTTCACGGCCGGTACATTCATGTTCCTTTTATGTTCTAAACAAAATAAGGCATCATCATCCAAACTGTGGATGTTTCAGAAGTTATAATTTCCTTACCATAAACTTGGAATTTATTTTTACAGGCGGATCTGTAAGTAATATGGATTTGTCATGCTTGATTGGATTCACAGAATATGGTAATCTGGGTATGAAATCCTTTGCTCAATACTACAGAGTGTGGAATAATATAAGGATGACGCTATGTTGCAGGGCATTGTCATTTGCAGAAGTCCTAGGCCTTCCATTGACTGTCCGACGAAGATCGAGGGCTTCTGCAAATGATAATGCCCTGAAAAATAGCGTTACCGTAATTATAGCTAAAATAACCAACAATATCGGTTTTGAAACAGTTACTGCAATCAACACGAATTTCACTGACCCACTTTAGTGAATATGGAAACGTCATAGAACAAGCCAGATGACGTCTCTATTGAACGTGACGTCACCTTACCCTATTCCCATGTGGACGTGATAATGGCCCGTCGTCAAGCAATATCAGGGCATTATCATGTTCCAGTGGCCCGCTCATTGCTGATAACATGCTGGCGGTTAAATGATAATTCTATCCATTTTAGCTATATATGTGTATAATCAAAAGGCGTTCTTAAAAGTGGTTATTTGTCCCGTGTCCATCACTAGTGACGTGGTTCCAAACAACCTCGCCCCACCCCCACCGACTCATAGAAACAATGTAATACTGTAAGTGTCACTTCTAAAGAATGCTGCAAAGAGGGTTTGGGTGATCCTGGCACAGTCAGGCTGGTTAGGCTCATCATCAGCTCAGGGCCCTTGCCTTACACGCAGCCCAGCGAGTCGGACAACTTGGTACAAATGTTGGGTGTTAGCGTAAAATTTCGAAAGCGAGGTCCGCATATGTGCCATGTTTTCCCTGAATCTTGCCAATCACATTAGTGTCAAAAGGGACAGAAAGTACAATGATATAAATGACTTCCTTGGATTTATCAAAAGGGACAAGATCAGGTTTGTTGGCCTGGATAGATCTGGGGCATTGTTTATCATTTTCCATGACACCCTCTAATATTCTGGGACGTACCATTGGTTGGACCTCTCAGTCAAACCACAAGCATGACGAAGACGGTAATGAACGGATCGAGCCACTCCGTCGGTTAAGATAGTGTATCTGTGCCAAAGCTGAGCATTCACAGACACTCTGTTGGACAGTTTCATTAAATTCTTTGCATTTTCCACATTTCATGTTTGCATTTTGATGCAAAACAACACATTGACGGGAAGTGACTGGTCCTGAACAGCAAACAGAAAGCCGTCTGGTTCACTTTTAAGGCCATCCAAGCGAAGGACTCTGATGGGTTGCTGATCTTCTCACCACACTGCACATAAACTCGATGCAGTGGTCGTTCAGATAGTCACTCCTTAAAAAACTGAGTCTGGGCCGATTTGATATCGCATCTCGCTTGGTTGACATTTTATTTCCTTACCGTCAGCAGTACAGAACCATCAACAAAATAAACAATGACATTGAGATTATGCCCCATATCCTTGACTCGTTTAAGCAAACTGTGGAATGCCTTGTTTTCATCATGAGTCTTGACATGCTTCACAAGAGGATCATCAGACAAATAAATGTGTAAAAAGTGTATTAATATCATTATGATTTCTGTCCCATTATATACAAATAAACAGCGACATGCAATTATCTAAATATATGCGTGTATTTACTTTTCCTTCAAACGTTTGTAAATGAAAAAAAAATACTGTATGATGTAATATAATGAAACATGAATAATACTGTCATGAGTATTCTCACTGGGATTTTTCGGAGAATATTAAGCATTTCAAGGAAAAGCCATGATGCAAAAGGTGCATTGGTGTTGGAACTTATACCACATGACTATATATACTCGTTACAGGTTAACGTTTTTGTCAAAACACATCCGCCATAACAACGTCCAATTCTTTAATTCATGATAGAACATTGCGTTCATATTCAAACCTTCACTGCAGCTTTCTAATGATGGAGCTCGAAACGATGTATGTAAATCTTCGAATTGTGTGTGACCAATTCCAGCCTTGTGTGCAAGAATACCTGTGACGTAAACATCATCTATCCAATAAAATCGCGTATTTTCAGACGCTTTTGTCAACCTTTTCGCTTCATCCACTGATAAAATATAGGCCATACCTTCACAGTAAGTGGGGAAAAATTCGAAAGGATATTCCTCCCTACTGGTAATCCATTTTCCTTCTTTTCGAAATGGCCGACCAGTCTGTAAAACTGTGCAGTACAAACTGTTGTGCAAGTGTCCAGTAGTTAGCGAAAAGTTTACCAATTTGAAAATATTGACAAACACGTCATCGTCAATTTTGACAATAGTTCTCACGTCATGACATTGAGTAGTTACCCAATGAAGAGCCATTATATGTTTATACGTTAAGTTCTTGTAACTGTCTTTAAAATTCCCTTGAACAATGTCTCCAAACAATATGGACTCTTGGACAATTTCTTGTTGAATGTTGTTTCGTTCTCCCATCATGAACACACACACAACTGGCATATTTCTAAACGTGGTCACTGATCCCCATGTGTTTCGTATAACACTTCGTTTCTCAACATTGCTGGGATCAGAATGTACAACAATCAAAACACCGATAGAAACATTGAGACACTGTCTCGAATTCAAACCAAACACGAAGCTATGTTTGTTCAACAGTTTGTCCAATTGATTATCGTTCTTGATAATGAACCAAGTCATGATCAGATTCAGCAGTTTCTGGAAATAAAGGTTGACGAATCTTTTCTTTTCCAGCTGAGGTCTTAAATGAAGCCTGCCTGCAAGATACCTCTCCTGTGTACGGTATTGCAAATGACGAAACTCCAACGCTCCGTAATAGATACCCATTAGTATCAGCGTGCCAAGGCAAAAAACACGTTTCTTGAATTTCCAGTACTTGAAGGCGACTGCCATTTTAGATATTGAATTCGTGCGGCTGAGGTCCAACGACGCATGTTCTGAGATATGTGCCTTGTGGTCTAGTAACTATGTGTACCTGTAAACTAGAAATACAAAGAATGAATGTCCATGCATTTGGAAAATACTCGATTGTGATTTGCCAATTAAAGGTTTCAAATCATAATATCCACTTCTGACTGAAACAGCTGATTTGACGGCCGCAGTACAGCAGAAACTAATATAAATGGAAAATAACTTGTTTCTAAATCATTACTGGTAGGCATTTTGAAATAATATATGTATAATCATCGGTTTCGGATACTACATTAGTCAAAGTGTGTGAGGGAATACACGATGAGAATGAAGGAAACCCATAAAAATCAACTAAGAGAGTGTTTTTCAAGTTTGGCGGACAACAGTGAGCTAGATTGTAGAATTTGAAACCTCATGCTGTGAGGTCGGTCCCAAATTCAATTCAGCGAAGTTAAATCTACAGGTAGCCTTGCTCTAGGTTTGAGCTTATTATGATAGGGATGTACTTATTATGATAGGGATGTACTTTTTGATAGAGATGTACTTAGTGATAGGGATGTACTTATTATGATAGGGATGTACTTATTGATAGGGATGTACATATTATGATAGGGATGTACTTATTGATAGGGATGTACTTATTATGATAGGGGTGTACTTATTATGATAGGGGTGTACTTATTATGATAGGGATGTACTTATTGATAGGGATGTACTTATTGATAGGGATGTACTTATTATGATAGGGATTTACTTATTATGATAGGGCGGTCGGGTAGCCTAGTGGTTAAAGCGTTGGCTCGTCACGCCGAAGACCCGGGTTCGATTCCCGACATGGGTACAATGTGTGAAGCCCATTTCTGGTGTCCCCCGCCGTGATATTGCTGGAATATTGCTAAAAGCGGCGTTAAACCATACTCACTCACTCACTATTATGATAGGGATGTACTTATTGATAGAGATGTTCTAATTATCATAGGGATGTACTTATCAAATGGAAAATGCAACTGTGATCATGTTCATCTGTTAATAAATGAAAATATATATTTATTTCGAGGACACTGACGTTACAGAGTGAAGAGTTTCTAGCTGTGGAACACGTCTGTATATCTGTAAAACGAATGACAGCAACCAGATACCGTAACCTTTCAAAATCGCATGACGGAATTCGAAGTTTTGAATTTGGGTACATTCATATTTTCACGATATATCAATCTCTAGATAGACTTTGGGGTCCATTTCCAGCCTCACCCAAACTCAGTTCTCTTTAAATATTCAAAGACAGAAATAGTTAGGTGCTTCTTAAATAACACCCTGTTTTAAATATTGACAACGTGGCTACAGGGAGCGGAAGGTCCGGGGTTCGTTCCCCGGCCGCGTCATACCAAAAGATGTTTAAAGATGGTACCTGTTGTTACCCTGCCTGGAGCTTGGTGTGAAGGGGTTAAAAGAAGGACTGGTCGGCTCGGAGTCAGTATATTGTGAAGTGAAGTGAAGTGAAGCCCAAACTTAAATGAGAGTATATCATGTTGTTCTATACCGCATATTTAAGCTACAGCAACAGCATGTGCCAGGCAAAACGATGCAAGCCGTTGGGACACGGTGGCACATAACTGGCAAAGTCACACAGTCGGTGTTAACGACAGCACGGGGTAATGAGGATCTATTCTGCCGCTAAATCCTAACTGGGTATTCAACTAACATATTGCGATTACCTAATAGAAAAAAGTCGTTGACTACCAATACATAACAACACAATTGTTAGTTAAACCATACTGTTTCTCGTTCTAATATTAAAATACATAATTTGGAGGACTGAAATGTTTGTAAATGAAATACTTAGAAACGAGTTGAGAAGTTTGTACTTAACATGCCTGTTCCTTCCACCGTGTCCCTCCTCTGCTGAATTGTCCAATATGCCAGAGACTATCATGTGCGCTGTTAAACAAAACAAAACATACATGGCCACCGCATCGATCGTTTGAGTACTCCATGGTAGATTGAAGTGTGGGTAATTAACTTACACTTCCTCACACCCTGAATATTGTCAGTGAAGCGTCACCTGTATGTCTGATTTGACGCCGGTCGATATCCAGCAGGCGTGTCGTTAATCAAAGTGATGACTAAACAAACACTGCACCCAAGTCACGCTCATGTCAGTCCAAGTGCAAATACTTCTCCTCCACGCCGCCATACGCTGTGATATTGCTGGTATATTCGGAGCGGCGTAAAATATCATTCACTCCTTCAACGTCTGATTCGTTTGCTACATCTCTGGTAGAAGTCCACTGTGAATCGCCCCCGAGATGCCTGTAACTTGCAGGTCAACTCCACCCAGCATCTATCTCCCCCCTCCGGTCCAGTAGTAGTTGAACAGGTGTTGTCTTACTGCTTTGGATTCAGTGACCGTTGGTGCTTATCATTTCTACGCCTCACTAGAACCTACACCGAAACGTCGCTCCCAATTGTAATAAAGAAGTCGTTCATCCATATATCTTATCCTTACTTAGTATTCCAACTTTGCTAAATGCCTCTCAAAGAAGTTATCACTAGAAGACTCATCCTCTAAATATTTCAATGACGATTGATTCCAGAATACTGACGAAGAGGATGCTTGTTTGAGCATGTGCTTATTAAATGTTTATGAAGGGTCATGCACGGTTGGCACGTGTGTTAAGGTGATTAGTGTCCACGTAGACAGCTCGTCATTATTACTGTTTTGTTATTAGTACTGTACCCCAATGACGGAAGAGTCAGGGTAGGCGTGCGTGTTTAACTGTCTGACTGGCCACTTTACTCCTAAACACGACCCTCTCCAAAATGACAAACGAACCATTGAATAACTTCCTTAAACCAGACCGTCATCAGAGAATGATCAGATAGAATGACCATAAGATCTTCAACATTCAACAGCATCGCATTCCTTCACAATAACAAGGATATATTGTTTGTTTGTTTTTTGTTTAGCGCCGAACTCAGCAATATCCCAGCTATATGTGGTCTGTAAATAAATTATGAGCATCGATCCACGCAATTGGGATACGATTACATGTATCAACCAAGTCATCGAGCCTGACCACCCGATCCCGTTAGTCGCCTCTTATAAGCATGATCGCCTTTCACGGCAAGCAAGCTGATAGATAATGCAAATGTCTGGGTAACCAACACAATTTTGGAAAGAGATTCGAAATATTAACTCAAAGTCATATACCAATTGCAAAATTAGTCTCACTGAATGGTTAACACATTTCAAAGATGTCTGCTGATATTTATTCCACACTGTTGAACTTAAACAGTTCTGATACAGATACATATATACATGTATGTTATCATGAGCATTATACTACTATTGATCGATGAATTCCAGATGCCAATATCAGCGTTGATGAAATTAATTATTGATGTAATTTATGTAATGTATTCTCTTAACAATGGAACGTCTCTTGGACTCATGCTATTGTTTGCTGGTGATGTTATAGTTGTATCAGATACTGTTATTGGGTTTTAAAAGTTTACAGAATACATTTAACCTAGATAAAACAAATGTGGTTGTGTTTAGGAGAGGTAATCAACTCGCTATGTCCGAAAACTGGTTTTACAAAAAACACCCCATTTTGTCTTGCAGATGGATATAATAAATACCTGGGTATTCTATTTACTTAGATTTTGAATTTTAAGAAAGACTGTCCAAAATTTAGCTGTAAGGGCCAAGAAAGCAATGATCATGTTACTTACCACAGGATCCAAATAAGAACCTGTTCCACATGTAGTTTATATTAAGCTATATGATGTCCAAATACATTCGATCCTTTTATACGGCTCAGTGCTTTGAGGTTTAAAATAGGGAATCAATAGTAAAGATACATTTATATGCATGTAAACAGTTTTTAAAGACAGGAATATCAGCTCAACACTGTGTAATTTGTAGCGAATTTGGAAGATATCCGATGAATATTAATGCATATATTCGTTGTTTTAAATACTGGTTTAAAATTTTAGAAATACATGAAGACCGCCTGCCTTAAAAGGCATACAAAATGCTACTTAATCTGGACATGGGTACACAACATGGGCATCACATTTTCGTTATATGCTATTTTATCACGGTTTCGGTAATTTGTTGTTGTATCCAGGTGTCGGTATAACAGGATTTTTTAAGATTATTTCATAGAAAGTCAAAAGATATCATGTTTGAGCAGGACCTGAGATTGAAACTTGAAAACAGTTCAAGATATGCCATGTACATATTTTCCAAATCGTTAATTGAACCTGAATTGTAATTAAATGTTATAACTTGCAAATCTCTGCGCATTGCATATTGACCTAAAAAGCAACTATGCCTGTCGTAAGAGACGACTAGCGGGATCAGGTGGTCAGGCTCGCTGACTTGGTTGATGCATGTCATCGTATCCCAACTGCGAGGATCGATGCTCATGATGGCAATCACTGGATTGTCTAGTCCAGACTCGATTATTTACAGACCGGCGTCATATAGCTGCAATATTGCCGAGTGCAGTGTTAAACAACAATCAAACCAACCAACATATTGAAGATTGTCTGAAATATACTGAGTCAAATTAAAAACTTCACATTTTTAAAAGTAATCCCATATATGATATACAACGGAGAAATGTATCAAAGAAGGTGATTTTTAAACATTAATGTCCAAAGAAGGATTTTAATTAACGGTGGTAACCATAATTTGTTCCAAGCACCTACGGTATTCGGTAATAACATCAACAGTTTAAATCATAAGTCCCAAGCACGAGAATCTGATGGCACACAAGTTCAGTAGCGTGTATGGCCACCATGTGCGTTGACAACTGCCACACAACGCCTCCGCATGGACCTTGTGATGCTTGTGAACACATGATTGGGAAGACGACGCCATTGTTGCTGCAAAATGGTGCCAAGATCTTGCAAATTCTGTGGTTGGTTCTGGAGAGAGCGCAGACTTCTGCTAAGAGCATCCCAGACGTGTTCGATGGGATTGAGGTTGGGAGACCTTGACGGCCAGTCCATGACGTTGACTCCCGTATTCTGAAGGAAATTCCTTGTCAAAATTGCCGTGTGGGGTCTGGCATTGTCGTGTTGGTCCATGTGCTGCCATAAAAGGCAGAAGTTCTGGTGCCAGTACCTGGTCGCGGTAAGCAGCAGCGTTGAGGTTGCCACGGATGACAAGAAGCCTGGAACGTGCATTGCCACAGAAAGCACCCGACACAATGACACTTCCGCCTCGAAATCTGTCAACTTCCTGTACACAACACTGGGTGTAACGTTCATGACGGCGGCTCCACACCCTCGCCCTATCATCAGCAAATCGAAGATTAAATCGGGATTCATCACTGAAGACGACTTGATTCCAATTCCTCGTAAGTGTCGCTGTGCCCACAATTGACGTTGACGTCTGTGTAATTGAGTCAGAATCGGCCCGCAGTATGGCCGTCGTGCTTGAAGGTGAGCAGTTCTCAGACGGTTTCGAACTGTTTGCGCACTCCGTATATCCCTAAACAGTTCATTTCTGGTTGATGTAGCCGTCAAAAATCGGTTACGGAGGTGACGTAAGACAATCTGACGATCCTCTGCATGTGACGTCACACGTGGTCGACCTGGCCGAGGGCGATAAGCGGTGGTACCCGTTTGCTATAGACGCGTCTGTAAATCATAAACAGTCCGTCGACTACAACCCATCGTCCTTGCAACTTCAGCTACGGACGTTCCCGTCTGCAACATGCCGATGGCACGTTCACATTGCACATTTGAAAGGCGTGGCATTTTGTTTTCTTGTGTTTTTCTTTCT